AACTCCCTCTCGGCGATGAAAGAACTTTTCGATTGTCTTCACACCCGAATGCGCGACTCGACTTATCATTGCTGCATTCTCTTGAAATTGGATTCTGTAAAGAGGAAGAGATGGCGGGGGCGTGCCTCGCATTATCAGCTGTTTCGCAGTCAGTCAGACATCTAGGTATCAAGCACGTATTGCCGACAGCCTTCGATTCCAGAGGTAAGACCACCATTATAACTATTTATACGGTGATAGAGCTGATTCGGAAAAACAGAGTTTCCTTTGAAATCTCTCAATCTCCACCAATTCCCCCATCTCTTGTCGCTATCGCACTCCATCGACTATCTCTACATCACGTACCCGTCAGAAAATGATCACGACCCCCTCACTTCTTTACTCAATCAGCTGCGTCAAATCTCGAACGAGAGTGAGATTCAAAGCTTCAATCTCGATCTCAATCTTACGGGTATCACTGCCGATACCGACTCTATAACCTCCGACGTCGAAGTGGAGGAAATTGACACGGCTCTATCAAAATTGTGTCACAACGAAATATGGGGTCACCTGGGGCAGACTTTAGCGAGATTTCCTGCGTTGGAGCAGGTCTCCATTTTGGTTGAGATGAGGGACGCATGTGCGGGGATGTATGCGAAGTTTTGTCTGGGGCTTCAAGACAGCTTATACGACCTTTCGGGAAGTGGAATTAGGGTTATGTTCACTATAGCGTAAACTATACGAGCTCGGAGCGACCGTATTTCCTTGATCAATCAGGACATGCAGGACACTTTAGATCATGCTGAAAGGTCGGACCTACTATAGTAGCCGGTATACACAATAATCATATAGAATCACATTCTGTAAAACTCTAAAATCCGGTTTTCGTCGACATATTACATGTCATATCGCTGTTTTCTGGTATGGTGAGAACACGAAAAGCCTTTGAGCTACGAAAAATACAAACGAGCGAGATACTATGTATCCTGTCAAGATAACTATCCAAAAGATTTGTTGAAGATTTGCAAAAGACAAGCAAAAGATGTACTTATACGTTTCCGCCGAAAAACATGGCCAATCTGGCACAAATAATGCGTTTTCCAAAAAATTGTCAGACTAGTACTACTTGCCTCCGTCTCTTCTATCGCAAATGAGAACCTTGAAGTTCACCTCGCAACGGCGTGCCACCTTGTACTTTTTTCAATGCAATCACAGATACAAACAAACCTAATCCGATTGATCCGGCAAACCGACGACCTTGTTTCGCTACCAATCGTCTCCAACCCCGGTCAACGACCTTGTTTCCCTTGACGTTAACAAACGATTCGAAGCACAAAGACATAAATGGCGACAAAGTACTCCTACCGCCAGTTTACACTCCCCCGACGTCCCAAAGACCCCATCGCACCAAAATGTTCTCGCTCAGGAAAGAGCGGCTTCGAGAGATGGGTACCAATCTAGGCAACACCATCTGCGGTTCACCTATAATTGAGCCTATATTCTCGGACATAACTCTCTGTCAGCCCAAAGATTGCGAACATCTTTACTATCTCGTCGCAATCGGATCAGCGCGTTCATTGCGCGAATGTCTGTTTTGGCCACAGGGAAAGACGTGCGACGTTAATGCACTTCCAACAGTGATTAAAACCATCCGTATAAGCAATTCGGACGAGGCTGCCTGGATGGCGACGGATGAACATCTTCCAAAACTACTCCCGTTGCTAGCGTCCATATCCACCGTCGTCATCTCCAATTTTGACTGGAGTACAGCTCGCGTGGCCCTATTTAACGCTTTGCTCGAGTTACTCGTTAGAGCGAGGTCTTTGGAGATGAGGAACGTTTCGGGTGTTCCCATGGCCCAATTTGCGCATTACCCCCAACTCAAGAACTTGAAGCTGGACGGTGTTACACCCTCTAGAGGTGGAGACTGTATGTGTTTTGACCATTTTATGCAAGATCGGCACAAGAAGCTACACCTCAGATCTCTCACTGTAATAAACTGCGTCGCCGCGATGAAGGAATTGGTTTTTTGCCTTTCTAATTCGAAGTCGCGCCTCGACTTGGACCATCTTGATATCTTGGAGATTGGGTGTTCTAATTCCGACGACATGGCTNTGGTATGGTCCAAATTCTCCTCTTTTTCAAAGGCGATCAAGTGCCTGAAGATCGCTCATATACTACCTGGTAAGGACG